TGTTCTTAAAACTCTTCTATTAGCTACAGAACATTTTATTAACTTTACACCTAAGACTTAATTAAGCAATAACTATAAATTTTATATTTACATCAGCGAGCCGAAGGTCCTGGCAGCCAGTGCTCCTTTTTTCGTGGAAAAGTAATTGTATTATTGTTTCACGTTTTATAAATAAATAAATAAATAAATAACATTTGAGCGACCCAAAGCTGTTATATTCAATTCTTTTAATACTGCATAGTGCAATTGGTATAATTGTTTACAGTTATATAACCTTTAGATCGGCTGCAGTCGGCTGCATTTATACCACTCATTTATTCGATTGAGCTCTGAATTAGCTCCGGCTTCGTCTCACATCTTTCCTTTTTCAAACTTGTCCAAACTAGGGGAACAATGTGGAGGAGACTTTAAATAAAAACTATGTAATGCCTCAAAAAGCATTTGGCAAAATAAATGAGAAAATTAAAAATTTTTTAATTCAAATTGAAACAATCAATGACTAACCAATTTACTTTGCTTTCGAATTAAAAGAATTTCTCCATATTATGTGTAGTATGTGTGTATATAGTATATATTTCATCTTAATTTGCTCGTGTCGAAATCATAAGCTTTGAAAACTTTGAAAATAAAGCTTCCGGTGTGTAAGCCCTCTCGAATTTCCGTTGATTTAGACTATTTTATAACAGCTATAATAAGTTTTACAAAACGGTACGGTATATTTATATATACATATGTACGTGTATATTAAATTATTAACTTGTACAGCCATTTTGGCTAATCGAGTCTGAATAATTCTGGTACCGATACAATATTGCAATTAAGCATCGCATATTATTGTGCTCTCAAATAATGGTTATTATTTCCAAAATGATCTACTTTTGTGGCAGCTATGAAGTTCTAATTTAAATACATTAAAGAAATAAATATACAAGCAATTTCTATCTAACAGCTATGGGCGAATTTCACCAACTACTTATATTCGCTATAATAAGAAATATCTTTAATTTGACTCCGCGCCTAATGTATGAAAAGAAATGCAAATCGATGCTTAATTATAAATGTTCAACCGGATTTGAAAAATATAAAAATTTATGTCGTTTATAGCAGTCACACTCAACTAATAAATGGCTAGTTTTGCGTTTGGAAAATTATGCCCTTCGAAGTATGTATGTAACATTTTTCGATTGCTGTAGAAGTTCTTGCTGTATTGAATTAAGTTGAATATATTTGCTCAAAAATGTGTGAGTCCTCTGGTACGAAAGCGCCCCGGTCACGAATACTTTCAATTTTACAAGTAACTAATAACTACGCCCAATAATGTGAATTCTATGCAGGCTTAAAATATATTGCATATTCTTTTATTGGTACATGTATGTATGTACAAAAACTATGTATCTCTTAAATGAAAGTATAAAGATTACTTTTTATTAATTAAAAATCTATGAGATATTTTTTGCGGTTTTTAGTTTATACGTTTTTTTTTCAATTTTTACTTTCGCATACAAATGTGAAAATTTGTCCAGGAACAAATCTATTGCTAACTTTATTAATACTCACAGTATGCTATAATTTACGCATGATTTCAGTTTTATCATATACTAGTTGTTTGTTTAGAAATATTATTTTAATTACCTAATTGCATCTTTTCCTAAGTTGTACTTACTAAATCGTAATTATTTCGCATATGTAATTTGTTAGCATTACTTATTTAATATAATGATATAGTTCAATTGTTCAATTCGTTTCTATTGCTTAAATTTACATATATATTATTCATAACTTTACAGCATTTATTGTTTTTATTAGTAAAAGTATTATTTATCTTACTAGCACCGCGTGTTTGTTTTGAATTTACTTTAATTTTCGAATTTATGTGCATATGTATGTATATACACTTGGTGTTGTATGTGGATAGATTTAATGCGTTCTATCACTTGTGGCTATATTACCTTTTATGATTCTCTTATTCAATTTTGGATACTTCGATATAAAATATTCGGTCAAGAGACTTGTGCTTGTCGACAACTATTACTTCATACCCGTATGGCAGTTGAATTTATGTTGAACTTATGTTTTGATTATACTGGCAGTGTAATTTCATCTGTAGTCTAGTTACAAGTACTTCGCTATAATAAGTCAGAGAATCTTAATATAATATTTACACGTGTGTATATGTAATTGGGGTAGTAGATGCGATCTAAAAAAGCTTGGGTGATCTCTAAGATATGTTTTTATTTTTGTATTAAACTAATAATATTTGGCTCTGGATTTTAATTTTTTTGAAGTCTCATATATTTATTTTAACCATAAATAAATCATTTCTAGATAATATTTTTTTACAATATTGTGGCACCCCTGCATAAATACATTAAGTTCGTAATATATTTGGCTTTTGAAACAAAGAATCCCATAAAAACTCAGAAGAAGATTTTCCGAATGATTTATCTGGCAGCTGGAGAATTTAATTACTATCACTAAGCCCAATTTTATATTGACCGTTGAGCTTTTGAAAACCAACCACATATGTATGTAGATGGTAGTTTGACTACAAAAACTCGAAACTCTATAAATTTCCGGCATATAGACGCAGAATTCAATATCCTATTATATAAGTATAACTGCTGAAACACAAATATTCAAGTGGAAAGTCAAGTCTCTCCGCAAAAATACTAACGGTTGGTACACTTTGTCTAATTAGTACATATAAGTCAACATATATATCCAATTTTTATATCTATACGGACAGGTTATATGCTGGTAAGTCCTCATGTGGGCTTTGCCTTCCCGTCGAATTAGAAAAAACGCACAGGTAACTGTACATTTGAACATTGCGAGAGAGCAACGCTGGAGCATGATCGAAACGAGATGAACCTTCGGCCGGAATGTTGTTATTTAAACGATATCGGAAAAAGACATAAACTGTTGGAAAATGTGAAAATCAGCACATTTAAATTGCACTAAGGAGTGTGTAGTTTCCAAAGCCAATATGGCGTCAATCGTTTCGAGTTATATTAATTATCCCAAATTTGGTAACATGGCATTATTGTTGTAACTTACAAATGTATGAGTTTACTTGTAATCATTATGTAATTTATTGTTTTGTTTACAATGCAATCAGTTGCTTACTAAAAAGTGGGCAGTACGAGTGTCATTTGCGTTCCCAATTCAAAATCTGCTTCAATATAAATACATATCTATAGAAAATTGCTAACTAACGGATGCTACCACAATCAATTGTATTTATGAATTTGCATGTCTGATGTGTACGAACCATATTATTTGGACGGATACTTGAAAACTATGTAAATACGAATGTTTCGGTAATGGATGTGTATATGCACTGACGAGCGACAAACCTAGATCTTACTGTGACCGATTCAAAATTATAGCTTTGTATTTAACCCGAGCATTTAGCAGGTAATATAACCACAAATTTCATATATACATATATAATACATACATATGCATGTATGCAAATGTGCGCTTGTTTTGCTTACATTGCATATGAAATATTGGTTTTTCGTATTTACAAAGTTATATATAACCCACATGGCATATGCCCAGACGCACTTCCGCATATACACATCTGCAACAATACACACATATGCACATATACCCCAGCTAACTTTGCTTCTTTTTAATATAAGTTTCGATTCTTAAAAATTGGTATATGAATATGAGTATGAAAGTGCCTTCATACTGCTTACTATTGTTTCAGTAATTTACGTAATTAATTATTTATTTGCTACCTTTTGCCATAAATTTTCACTCATACTTGAAAAGTTTACTTGCTTGTGGTTCATGAATGGCAAACACTTTCCACTGCTTTATTTATATTATATATGTATGTACTGTGAAAAACAGCTCATTATCGCCTTGGCTTCACTATAATACCTGCATTTGTGTATGTTAATGCACCAACCTAAGTAAGACTGAACTTAAGAAATATATGTTATATACTTATATAAATATGCAGTGTATTTGGTTTCACTAACTATTTCTTAACGGTAATTTACGTTGCACTGACGTAACTATTTCATAATGATATAATCTTGTCTCATCTCGTTTGTAAGTTCATTCATACTTTATATTATAATTTTAATTTTAATTAAAAATTTATTCGTTTATTTACTATTTGTATTTGCTTATTGCAATGTATGCATGAATGCTCTCATGTACAGACGCACGAGTATGTCTTCAGATTAAATGCTACTTTTATCGGTTATTTAATGAGGCGCGCTATATATGTATGTATGTATTTATGTATGTATGTTCGTATGTATGTATGCTTTGATGATTATTTTTGCTTATATCTGAATTGTTGTAGTTGTTTATGAGTTATCATGGCTATTCTGCATATTTCATAAAACTTTCATATGATTTTGTATAATTACAATACGTTTACTGGTTATTTGTTCTTGTTTTGGTTTTTCGTTTCAACTGTTTTGTATGTATGCGTGTGTCGTACAGTACTCCTGATTAACTATGAAATGAATTACACTAATCTTGTTGTCGTTGTAATGCTAATTATTTCAGCTTATGATATTGGAATTAATATTTTTTATTTTTTTTTTATTTTTATTTTATATAAAATACATATATGTATATGCAAGTATTGGTGTAAGTTGGTGTGCTGTCGGCGCAATGATAGATTTTTTTGGTTTCTTTCTTTTGGTAGAGTTTTATATAAAAGATGAGAGCTCTCCACACCTCCTTCCTTCTTTGCCGGCGACAAGTACACCACTGCAAAGCTCTGACTTTCGAGCTACATGTGAATGTATCGATGCGATGCAATGTGATGTGATGTATGTAGTTGTGGGGATGCTGAATTTGCCTGTTATTGGTGAAGTAAACGCAGCCCTTTGCTGGCTGGTTGGCTGGCTGACTGCTGACTTGTCCTTGTTGGCTCTTTACAATAATGCAATCTTTCGCGGGTGTCGTCTCAGTCGTAGTACTTTTCCTTTGTTAATATAACATGACAAGCTATGAATATTTGGATGCGTCTCGATGATTTACGAATGTAGGTGAGATCGTCTGCTTGAACGCGCTTATTTGCTATTCCTAACATATGCTACGCTTAATTGTTTAGTTTACACACATTCGCACACATATATGTATAAACAATTCGTCGCTGTCACACACTGTTTGACTTTTGGTTTACACTAACATCGTCTATTATGAAAGTTTTCTGCTTTTTTTTATTTATTTCTTAGAAAATGTATTTGTAGCGGATTATATTAAATGCCTGTGAAACTGATGGCGTTAATGTGGTTTCGCTTTTTTTGGAGTTTTTCTGTAGTTTTTATTTTTATTAGTTTTGCATTGGTGAGAATTTTTGGAAGCCGGTGCTACTGCTGCTGTTACTAAAGCGGTTTTGGTGTTGATATTATTATTTGTGATAGTGACGGTTATATTGAGACGACAAATTGCATTTTGTATACTTTCTAATACTCCCAATATCATGCATCCTGTATTTCACCTTTCAGTCCAGGCACCCTATGGTGTTGGTTATGTCCTAAACGATTGGCTAAATCCTGTACAACATCACGAAATATAACCGTATCTATATTTTCACCTAATAAATATAATAAAAACCAATCGCCCATCTTCGACCGACGAACGATTATTTCAATAGCGTCTCGACGCACTAACCTAAAATTTGAAATAAAGAAAAATGTTGAAATAAGTTGAATTTGAATTTATACTCATATACTTTATATATGATATATATTTTTACGTTTGTATGACTGAGTTCGTGCTTACCTAAATCGCATACGAAACAAGTACACCCTCATGCGTGGTGAAAATATAATTACCACCCTGTATATTAACGTTAACAGTGTTAGAAACGTTAAAAGTATGAACCAAAACCAAAGGAAAATGTATATTTTCTCATTAACAACATTTAATGGCAGTATGCAAATGGCGTCGTGTTTCTCCACCTGAAATGAGAAATTATTATAGTTTTTAGATTAGAATAGTTGTACTATCTATAATAAAACATAAAATTATCAATTATATCGCAAATATTAAGTTTTATTGGGTGTTTGTATAAAATTCTGGAATAACGCGGATAAGTGTTTTTAAGTTCATACTGTCGCATCGAACCCTATACTGCTTCACAATCGGTCCATAGCAGCAAGTTTATAAGTACAGGTCATTGTTTTCGCATATTTAAATAAAAAACGAGTGACTTATTATAGACTCAGCGACTGGAGAGGCTTGTCATTATTCTATTGAACCAAACAGTTACGGATCATTTGTTTTCAGCTCTCACCATTGTCTGTAAAGTTGATACTATTTTCTTTGTTAAAAAGTAGAGGCAAATATGCCTTCGACATATACGATAAATCACCCCAGATTGTAAATTTGTCCGGATGACAGTCTCTTCCAAATTTTTTCGTTTCAAATGCAATACAAGTTTAGTTATTTACGCTCTTTTAAGGAAGAAATGTGCCGCGCAGAATTCAAAATAAATTGCCTGTGCCTCCTATACAAATATAATATTAAACTTTAAGAAATATGTATTTTAATACCTTTAATATTTTTATTTACATAATAGCTAATTTACATGATTGCAATTCCATTGCTTCTGATTGAATTTAAAATTATTTGGTTCTATGAATGAAGCGGGTTCCCACAGTATTTTGAACATAAACGTTAGGCCTATGTGTTTACTTTAACAGCTGGTTTGACTGCTTGCTATCCCTCTAGGAAATGCTACTCCACAAAAACAACCCAGACATTAAAATAAACTTGCACAGATGTGCGTTTAATGTCATAATATCGAATGCACATAGTCATGTTTACTTCAATATATTAAACATAACTTATATATTTTAATACTTTAAGGCAATATTTTATATATAATAGCTTATTTATGTGATTGCAACTTCATTGCGTCTGATTGAATTTAAAATTATTATTATTATTATTATTTTTTTTTTTTTTTTTTTGTAAAAATCAATCATTGAAATAGTCCAATAATTTGGTACTAGAACTCATACTTGTTTTCTAGCTTTTGAATAAAATGTCAAACGTTTAAGAATAACGAATCGAACAAACCATGCCAGTTCAAACAGACTGTCTGCTAGTAAATTTTAAAAACACTGTAACAAGTACTGTTGAACACAAGAATAACTCAAACAATTCTAAACGTTAACTTCGGCTGCGGTGAAGCAATAATACCTTTCAAAGGTGCATTTTTTTTACCATAAAGGGTATAAAAATATCTATATACTTATTTTGATCGGTCAGTTTCTATGATCATATATATGGTATTTCAGAAAGTTTAGCAAAGTCTTTTCCAAAAATACATGCCCAATTTCGAGACGAGACCTATTCAATTAAAAAAGTTGTATGTACAAGGACTTGAGTTTAATGAGTTATTTTGTAGGACAACTATATGTTATAGTTGTTCGATATGAAGAATTTCTTCGGAGCATCTACAGATGCCTTTCATAATAATTTGTGATAAATTTTTTGAAGCCTTGTCGAATTAGTTTTCTTTACGATATTGTTGTCCAGTATCGGCGGTTCCGCAAACGAGCAGCTTCTTTGTAAACAAAGGTATCTCAAAAGACTGAAGGACTTATTCGTATATATGCGGGTATATATGCAGTATGAACGGACCTGAAAATACTTCGTTAACAAATAATTGGGTTATTGCAATTGCAACATTTCCTCAAGTCTAGTTTATCGATTATAAGCGCTGAATTACGCAGCTCTACAAACTAATAACTGGATTTATGTATTCAGTCATTATTCGGCGCACCTTTTACGTGTATTCAAATAAAACATCACGTGATCCCCACTCTCTGGCACCGCTAATATGGAAAATGTCAAGGTAAAAGCTGTTTTGGAAAGTGAATTGTGGAAGAGTTTTGCGCTGATAGTCGAATTAATATAACAAGTTTTCTATTTTCGACATTCTCTGTGTATACTTAAATGTATCCGTATTTATTGAAACAAATATGTATGTTAATTTGTTTCGTGTTTGCTGATGTAAAATGGAAATATAGATTTAAACCCAAACAAGATCTAGTTTTACAAAATCATACATATGTAGTTTGAAAAACTATGTGCACAAATGTACACATACATATATCCAAAATAAATCTTATATCTCGGGCAACGCAACGCAGACCAGTGTTTTGTATTGTAGTTACATACCTCCCCGCTTGAACCGTATTTAAAAAATGTACATTTGGTCATTCTAGGGAATATGTAGATCATGGGATCCATTCGATCTTCTTGATCGTCCTCCATATATTTTATAACCTTCCAGCCAAATTGCAAAAATTCGCCATCGAAAAATCGATTCATAAGAAACATTTGACCTGCGAATTAAAGAAATGCAAAACATTATAAATATTAGTGCATTGTTGTTTTTACTTATTTATACATATATCATATACTACAAATATAATATGGATTTATTACTACATTATATTTCCCTACCATAAAGCAGTTACACTTCAGCTATATTAGCATACAACTTTTCTATACAAAAAGAGTCGGAAAGTGTGTAAAATTTTTGTCATACTCAGTTTGCTTATTATTTTACTTATGTATATACTCCGGATGTTCCATACATCCAATATCATACAGCCAGGTATTGTGACTATTTTACTCTAAAGAAATGTAGAAACATAGTAATGTGAAGCCATTACTTCAACAACAGAAGCAACACTCTAACTAAATTACATATTTACGCTTCTTCCCTACCCCAACTCGTTTATTATTTCTGGCTAAGGAGAGTTAACGCAAATATTTCAGAAAATAACAATCTCTAATAACTAGTATCACAAGAAGTAATCAATTTAATTATTTACTGGATATGCATTTATGTAATCTTTTTGGTTTTAATATCAAATCCGAAACCGAACAATTCTGCCGCGTTCTCAACTGAAATTTTTAGAAATATTCTTAACTGTGCTTGGAATTTCAGCGTATTCAGAAAATCGGCAGGAGTGGTACGTATGCAATCAGTTCAATGCTGTAATTAATTACAAAGGTTGAGCAGAAACGAAAAACTTTCAGCAGTGGGTGGTAGAAACAAGTTCATGTACGACATAAATTCTCTGAAATCATTAGCTGATGAAAACACATATGGTGAAAAGACTCATGGTTTAATTAATTTCATGTACTAAATTCTCTAGTAGATGTAATTAATGTTATGAAGAGTACTTGTTTCTATGTAGGGAAACAAGTTCAGTTGAAATTTAATTGATTTCATGCTAAAGTTTTCAAGATTAAGTTTATTATCTGTTTCAACACTTCTTTATCTCTGGTCAGAATATTTCACGTCAAATATGTTGTATAAGAAGATGAAAAGTTTTATATTTCCAATAATTTCTTCAACAACTACTCCAGTTCAGCCGAATTGGAAACGGCTGTGTCCGCTGCTTATAGTAAAATTCAAACAGAACTGTGGTAAGTATATCAATTTTGGATAGGAAAGCACTAAAGGTAATCAGAGACCTCTTGGATGCTGCATACGAGGTGTGTTCAAAATGTATCGCGAATTTTGAATTTTCGCGGGTTACGTATATTCGCATTTCGAATTTTTTGTGGCGTTATGTTGGTACTCATATTTCTCAGTTATGCCGACAAGCTCGGCCATTTTGAATGTTCATTTAATTGTTGAC